CTGCATTTGATTGAGCAGACGGCTCTGTTATTTGTTGATGATCAACCTGCAGTCATTTTAGGACCATGTTTAAATCAGATTCAGAAATCACTTGAAACTTAGGCTAGATGTTAACACTAATCACATGTTGGATTACTTGTCTTAATAATGTTTTTTATGATGTTGTAGGCATTCTCTTGTTAGTTTCTTTCATCCTAAGTTAGGACAATTATTTCCCATTTGTTTAGGTTGTAAAACGTGAAATATTTGCAGTGATTACAAAAGGAACACTAACTGAGGGGGAGTTGCCTTCTGCAAATCCTGATGCTTCTTATTTAATGGCACTGACTGAAAGTCGCCAGAGTTTGGCAAACCAAGGTCTTGAGCGGATTTTTGGTGTTTGTGTTGTTGATGTCACTACAATCAGGATCATTCTTGGACAGGTTTGTTGATTTTTATCAGATTTTATTGTGTATTAGTTGATGAGATTGTTTTTGAGGCTTTGTTGATAATTCCATTGTGTCATCTGTTTTGCTAATATCTTTTTATTGTCATTTCCCTTTTCAAGTTTGGAGATGATGCTGAATGCAGTTTATTTTGCTGTCTATTATCTGAGCTGAGGCCGGTAGAAATTGTAAAACCTGCTAAAATGCTTAGCTCCGAAACTGAGAGAGTAATGGTGAGACATACTAGAAATCCCTTGGTCAATGAGTTGGCTCCCCTCTCAGAATTCTGGGACACGGAGAAAACTGTTCAGGAAGTCAAAACTATCTACAAGCGTGTTGGTGATCTTTCAGCTTCTGGGCCCTTAAATAAATCAGATTTGGATACAACTAACCTTAATGTTGAAGAATACAGGCCAAGCTGCCTGCCCAGCATTTTGTCAGAATTTGTCAATAAAGGAGAAAATGGAAGCCTTGCTCTCTCAGCTCTTGGAGGCGCTCTCTATTATCTTAAACAGGCATTTTTGGAGGAGACATTGCTTAGATTTGCAAAATTTGAATCCCTTCCTTGCTCTGATTTCTGTGATGTTGCTAAGAAACCATACATGATTCTCGATGCTGCTGCTCTGGAGAACCTTGAGATTTTTTAGAACAGCAGAAGCGGAGACATTTCAGGGTAAAGGTGTCATATGCACTTAAATATGCCAATTTTTTTTTCTCCTGAAAATTGTTTGAGGTATTTTGTTATCTATGAAGGACACTGTATGCGCAACTGAATCATTGTGTGACGGCATTTGGAAAGAGGTTGCTGAAAACTTGGCTAGCAAGACCATTATACCATTTGGAATCAATTAAAGATCGCCAGGATGCTGTAGCGGGTCTGCGGGTAAGTTTCCAGTTGGTATTCATTTTCTAGCTTGAGATGTCTTGCTAGGTGAACTTTATATATATATAATTGGAATTGTAGACCTTGGTGAACAATTCCAAAGCCTCTAATGCTTGAACTAAAATTTACAGTTTATGGATTGATGATTTATTTTAAGGAAAGTGTCAATTAGCTATCATATGCTAGCTTTTCCATTTGAAAATCAACGGGCTGTGTATTAATGAAAAACCTAAAACAGCATTACTGTTTTGATTCCCAAATAAATATGGGGCTACTATCATTGGCATGGTTCATTGCCTTTTCTCTTTCCATTTTCTTGTTCCATGTTTTTCAAAAAAATGGATTTCTTAGTCTTCATTGTTGTTTGCAAAACTTGAAATCTGGGGCTTGCAGCTATGATGTTGAAGGTTCAAGGCTTGAGAGCAGCCACTTCTAGCAAAATTGCAGAAGGGCAGGACTGTTTTGAAATGGTCCCTTCAAAGTTAATACTTTGATGGGACCATAAATATCTTTTGGCTTTCAAAGTCCAAGGAGTATAGAGTGTTTTTCTCGATATGATTAAATGCTCTCATAATTTTTCAAGTTTTATTTTTTAGCTGAATATTTTGATCTCTTCAATTTTTTGCTTGATAGTTGCATTTCTTTTATATTTTTCGTTCTCTAACCAGCTAATTGCTGTTTGAGTTTGCATTCTGATATCATAGCTAACTTTCAGGGGGTAAATCAACCCATGATGGTTGAATTTCAAAAGGTGTTCTCTGGGCTTCCAGACCTTGAGCAGCTGCTTGCACGCGTATTTTCTATGAGGTAAGGATAACAAGGAATTAAGCATGCATCAAATGTATTTTTCTAGAATTATGCAAGTACTGAGCTTCATGTAAACATGTTTCTTGTGCATTATTTTTATTGAAAAACAATGAAGCCAACAGAAGAAATGCAAATAAAGTAGTTTTATGCAAGGATCAATGCAGCAAAGAAGCAGCTTCAGGAGTTTATATCCGCTCTATGTGGCTCTGAATTAGTGGCCCAAGCATGTTCTTCACTTGCAGTGATTTTGGAAAATGTGAAGTCTGGACGGTTGCATCATTTATTAACACCTGGTACTTTTCAGTTTGTTGTTCTTTTAATGTTTTTATATGATTGTAGTTTGGCATCTTATTTTGTTATGTAATTGTAGGTAAAGGTCTTCCAGACATCCTTCCAATTCTTAAACATTTTAAGAGTGCCTTTGATTGGGTAGAAGCCAACAATTCTGGACGTAAAATACCTCATGAAAGTGTCGATGTGGAGTATGATTCTGCTTGTGAAAGAGTTAAAGAGGTTGAATCTAGTTTGGCTAGACACCTGAAGGAACAACAGAAATTACTAGGGGACAAATCAGTAAGTTCCTGTCCAGAAATAGTAGTCTTCTCTTAATTTGTTTTAGTAAATAACATCTTCTCTCATTACATGACCTATTTTACAGATTACTTATGTCACAGTTGGAAAAGAGGCATACCTGTTAGAAGTTCCTGAACATTGGCGTGGTAGTATTCCTCAAGATTATGAGCTGCGTTCATCCAAAAAGGTAACTGATGCATAGTGAATGTTTGGTTTCTGACACTTACTTGAAAAAATAGCAAGTGTTTGGCCAATTAATCAATGTGACAGGTGTAACATCATCTAATTTTTTATTCTATTGTTAAAAACATTTGAAAAGTCATCACCAGCTGTCACGTGGTGATGCAAATACTGCTATGGTAGAATTCATTAACAAACTTTGTGAACACATGCAAACATAAGCAAATGAATTGTGTTTCTTGCTTTTTTGGCTTCCTTAAGAATGTACTTGTCATTGTGCCATGGAATTGCAGCAAAAGAACTTGGAATTTAAGTCGTTTATACTGCTTTTGCCTAATTTTTACCATGGTCATGTGAAATATTTAAAGAAAAGGGCTTGTAAACATGGTGTATAATATAAATAGATAGGGTCAGTATCAGCTAGCATGCCCATAAAAGCTGGTAGGTTCAAAATATGTGATTAGGTGTCAAAGAGTGAATGAGAATGATGGTGTATGCATGTAGAAGAATGACCTGATTTTACATTTATTTATTAGAAACTACAATCGATGTCAACTGGGTCCCTTTTTTGTCGGACAAGGAAACATTGTGGCTGGGATCTTAACTTTGGCTATAGCAAATAGCTTACTGGTCTTAAGAAATTTGGTTTTCCTTGTCGCTATCTTGTTTAAATTCTTGTTCTACATGCTGCCTGGGACATGCAGGGCTTCTACAGGTATTGGACTCCAAGTATAAAGAAGTTCTTAGGAGAGCTCTCACAGGTTGAATCTGAAAAGGAGTCGGCCTTGAAGAGCATTTTGCAGAGGTTAATTGTGTGTTTTTGCAAGTACCATGACAAGTGGAGACAATTAGTTTCTGCAACTGCAGGTTTGTGCACCAACTTTATTCACGTAGAATAGGATCTTGATGATGAATATGTATCTCTCTCTACACTACAGCATTTCTGTAGAAAGCTAACAAAGGCAAATTGTATTTCAAATAGAATCCAAATTTTCTCTCTTTCAAACACGCAGGCGCTCCCACTCCTTTGTGGGATGAAACTATTGTCATGGTATGATTTCAATTCATTTTGACTGAAACTAGTCACATATGATGCAGAACTGGATGTTTTGATCAGTCTGGCAATTGCAAGTGACTATTATGAAGGACCTGCATGTCGTCCAACCATTGTAGGTTCATCATTGTCAAGTGAAGTACCATGCCTTTCTGCAAAACAATTAGGACACCTGTTCTCAGGAGCGACTCTTTGGGAAAGGGTGCATTTGTCCCAAATGACATTAGTATTGGGGGTTCTGGTTATGCCGGCTATATCCTTCTCACTGGTCCTCACATGGGTGGAAAATCTACTTTTCTTCGGCAAGTTTGTTTGGCTGTGATTCCGGCCCAGGTAAACTATCTATCCTTAAAAATGTATGTTTTGCCTGGTAACCATCCACATTCTCCATCTTTGATATTTTTTTCATAGATTGGAGCCGATCTCCCTGCTGAAAGCTTTGTCAGGATGTGTGCAAAAGATCATATTTGGCAGGCCAGAGTACATTTTTGACGGAGCTTTCAGAAACTGCATTGATGCTGGTGAGTTTTCTTGGTAATTTTGAAGCATTTGATTTAAGTGAAAGGGTCATGTTCCCCCAGTTTATAGATGTGGCTGAATCGATGATGTATAGGAGGATGTTTGTGATTGTGAGTAAAGTGCCAAAGTTTATGCAGCTTTTCCAGTCGAAATAACATCATAGAAATCAAATTAAAAAAAATATAAAACTCATTTTTCATCTAGCCCCATATTGTATATCCAAGTTATTAGGAAATCAGTTAAAGCATCGTAACCAAGAACTGAAATAAGAATAGGCCAAAAAACAAGACTCTAGGACAACCAATTAGAAATTAAATAAACCATACATCAAATGATGAGCAGAGGCATTCATGATTGGAAAAAAATAAAGCCATAATGCAAAATCATCTACCCTTTCAACTCCATTGCTAAACTATCACACACTGCATTGCTTTCACGGGGATTATTGTTATCTTAAAATATTCTAACTGAAAAATCTCAACCATTGGATTTATAAAGTCCACTCATTCAATGCATGAAATTTTTAGAACTGTTTTTGAAAAGGATATACAGCAAGGTTACTTCTAGGATAAATTAGTACAAGGACTAATTTTACATGCATGCATGTGTTAATTTAATGTTTAGAAGCAATACAAAATTACAATGAAAATACATTAAAGGGATTAAAGATGCATTCTTTTTCGCTGAATGTTTCTAATGGTCTCCTCCAGCTGTTCCATATTGATTTTTTTGTTCACTTGACCATCTGTGCCAGCCTCCTTCATCTTCTTACCTTCACCTCCTGAGTTATCTGCTGAGAATGTTAAGATAGGGATGTGAACGGCATAAAACTTCTCCTCTTTTCTTATCTGTCTTGTTGCTTCACACCCATCCATTTTTGGCATCTGTTGAATACAAGATATTAAAACATGGTTAACGTAAACTTTATAATAAGATAAAATTATTTGCATAAACCCATCCATTTTTAGGAACGAAAACAATTGATAACAACATGAAAGGAATGAGATTCATATTCTCTACCTCGCAGTCCATTAATATGTAGTCATAAGGAAGCACAATAGAGTGGTTGTATTCCCTTTGGTTGTGCAGACCCATGCGAACTAGTTGAAAAGCTTCATCTCCATTTTCACAAACCTCAACAGTTGCACCATGCCCTTGAAGAATATGCCTGGTCACTCTACGGGATATTTCATTATCATCAGCGACTAAGAATTTCAACCCGCTTAGGGATTTGCCTTCGCTTAGATTACCATGTACTTCTTGGATCTCTGAAGATCTAACTGGGAGCCTTTTAGTTGGAGATTGTCTTGATTTGGATCTAACATGAGAATAATCTGGATCATCTAACAAAGGATTCTTCCTGTTTTTTTTATTTTTTGACCTGCCTTCTGCTTGTGAGTCCACTTGTTGAAATGAGTTTTCACAAGTTGATGGAATCTTTAACTTTGTTTTTTGTGAAGGTGTTGATGAAGATGAACCAGGATCTTTAAGATCATTTGTTTCTTGGATTGTACTTCCTCTCTTTGATCTCGAAATAAGTCTATGACCCCCGAATTCAGGTAGAAGTTGTATCACTTGATACAAGCGAGAACCATGAAATGGTCTCAACAAAATGTCATCTCTTGGATCGATCAAATCCTGTTCAAAGCCTCTCAAATTGATACTTCGTAAAGTTGGTTTATCCAGCCAAACAACCTTGCAGCAACTGCTATGAAGGTATCTTTTAAATTCAGCAACGACTCTACAAAGTTCCTGAAATGGTCCAGCACCAGCATCAATCACAAGCAATACAAAGCCTGGCGCACCTCTAAGGTTGGCACTTCTACTTGCGGATGGTTTTTGATCTATCCCGTCCATGGAACTTAAAGGCACATCCTTCAATGATCTAGAGTTAAAATGGTCACTTCTTGAGCCCAAATCAGATTTTCCTGAAGAACTATGTGGAGAAACATTTTGCCTGGCTGTTATTCTCTTTAGAGTAGAATCAAGATGCTCCCATTCCTTAACAGATGATACTTTTATCCCCAAACCCTGTATGTATTTTTGTGAACTTCTTAGCCGCTCTTCATTTTGAATCAAGAGAACAACATGGGATCCTTCAATCTTGGGACTGGAACTAAGTAGAGATAGCCTGGGACTAGGGGTGCGAATCACTAGGCCTGGAGAAGAAGTTCGAATAGTCAGCTGCGAATAGTTATGCTTACCATCGGGCATTGAATCCCCTTCAATCTCAACTTCAGCATTTTTGTTATATGTTGAAGGTATCTCGCATATGTCAAGGAAAACATTGAACTTGAAGCAAGTTCCCTTCTCGTCATTCTCTTTATTCACAATTCCTATTTCTCCTCCCATTAAACGCACCTGGTGAAAATTATTTAACAAAGGTTCATCAAAGTAATATAATCAAAAGTAAAAATAAGAAGGGAAAATGTTTTGAGGATTTAAACACGCTTTAGTGCTTAATGTGCTATAAAAAACTACTAGTTAATTTGTGAAAAAGTTGAGCACGTACCAAAGATTGAACGATGCCAAGTCCTAAGCCAGTTCCTCCTTGTCCAAGAGCTGTTTCTTTGACTTGAACAAAATTCTCAAACACTGATTTTTGCTTCCATGAGCCTACCTACAAGGTCATTTGTGCAACCATCCATTTGTCGTAAATTTGTGTCTAACTCGGAACCTGCATGCACTTCTGCATAGCATATCTCTATCAAACCAGTAATGCCTGCTAAAGCCGCTCGAATGTCATGGCTAGCACTAGCAAATGCAAGACTCTTATTCATACTCTTTCGTTCTGCTTGTTGTGTTGCTTCCATTTGCTTTATTAGTGCTGAACACAAGTGCATTTCTCTTTTTGCAGACCTAACCACTAGCAATATGAAACTAACAATCGAAACAAAAATCGCAGCAATCATTATAATGAATAGAATGAGGGATATTTTGGTGCTCCTGTTAACACTGCTTGTTAGTCCATTGTATGGGAAAGCCAATGCATATACCTGCAATCCAAATTCCCATAAATTGTATGAATTCAGAAAGCAGTTATCTATAAATTTCAAACTAATTTATGAGCCAATCTTGCATGAATGATTTTAAGTGACAACCACATATAAAAGGCTTGAATTTTATGATCTCTAAATGAAAACACAGCAGTATACCACAACAAAGTATGGAAAGTGACCAGAAAGTAACTCGTGACTAAAATCTTGTTCGAAGATTCATTTTTAAGATGCATACTTTCAAGAATGATACATACCGATTGCACTCCCACAATTTCAATCTGGGAGCAGGAAACTCTATACTTTGCTTCCCCAAGGTACACCACTGAATCTTCTAGCTTGCCATTATTCAGCATGCATGAAACTGCGTTAGGCAGTCCTCCTACAAGAACTTTGCCGGATTGGGTAGCCAAGTACAAGCTTCCACCATAAAGTTCTACGTTGCTGAAGAAACTAGTTAATGCTTTAGCCGAAAACCCTAAAGAGAGGACTCCTTGTCCATTTAAGCTAGCTGTGTTAAGGAATAGAGGATCTTGAGTACTGTTCCATCCACTCTCAAATGAGGCATACCCTTGACTACTATTTAATGCTTGCTCAATCCAGCTTGCATTCGTTTTAATGAAAGGAAAGGATTTAACTGCATCTCCATATAATCTTCCTGTGTCTGAATCTACAGGTTGTCTATACCAAGAAAAGTTCCTCGCATTTGAAGCTGTAGAGTTTGAGTACATAGCAAATGTTTGGTTTCCTTCATAATAGTATGTGAAGAAAAGACCTCCCAGTCCAATATATGAAATCTGTGATATGAAAGGAATTACTGAAAATGCTTGAAACAATGAGGGAGCTACCTGCAGACAAAAGGAGAAGAAGAAAAAACTGAACTTGCCACTCTTAATGGTAAATTAATGGTAAATTACCCCTCTTTGTATGACATATTATTATTACAAATACTAATAACTTCTTAAGTATATGAATTGAGTATGGACACAAACCTTATTCTCAACATCATACGATGAGAGTATGCTTCCATTGATGGAGGAACTCATAACTCTTGCTAAATCTATTGCAGATGAATTTATGGGGTGCAATAATTTAGCTATGTTCTCAATTTCAGACAACAATCCAGATTGAACAACATGGGCATTGAAATCCATCTGCTTCTTCATCTGTTTGATCATATTATACCACCATGGTACCACTACACAAGGGAGTAGCAAAACTCCAATTGCCTGCATTTAAGTTTGTACAAACCTTGAGTGCAATTCCGAATGCAGTGGAATAAATGAAAAGGAGCATAATAATTGTTAAAGAAATATTAGATGAAAACCCACTTTAAAATAGGTGATTATCATCGAAGAAATTAAATATTTTTATCAGTATATTTCAGGCACGCAGTGATATACAAGCTACATTGAAAATCAAACAAATAGTAAAATAATTTCGCATGCAAGTACGTAGTTTTATTAAAATGAACGAGTGCAATACCAGAATAATGAAGATGAGGACAGGCCTTGACGCTATCAATGAGCTGAGCATCAATGAGTTGAGCTTCATTGGATTTTGTAGATGCAATCAAACAAGGCCAAAATGAACTCTCTGCATCCATGAAAACCATAGAGAATCAAATCAATAATATTTCCACAAATATAGAGTGGCTAGACAGTTTAAGACTAGGATGTCAATGCTTGAAGAGATGGGTGAAAAAAAAGGCTTTTGACGTTGGACGCATTTTCCATTGTAATGAGAGCTTTTTCTGCTGCAAAGGAGAGGAAAAAGGCTGTTGGTATTTTTGAGTTAATGAAGAATCACAAATATAGAGTGGGTGTAGAGACCATTAATGCTCTGCTTGATAGTCTTGGGAGGGCCAAGCTTGGGAAAGAAGCTCAGGCACTATTTGGGAAGTTGGAAGGTAGGTAGGTTTACGCCAAATTTGAGGATATATACTGTATTACTTAATGGATGGTGCAGGGTGAAGAATTTAATGGAGGCTGGGAGGATTTGGAACGAGATGCTTGGTGAGGGTTTTAAGCCTGATATTGTCACCCATAATATTATGCTTGAAGGGTTGTTAAGGAGTAAAAAGAGGTCTGGTGCAATCAAGTTCTTTGAGGTCATGAAAGCCAAGGAACCATCACCTGATGTTCGGAGCTATACAATTTTGATCCTGGATCTATGCAAGCAAACTAGGATGAAAGAGGCAGTTGGATATTTTTATGAGATGGTTGATTCTGATTGTCATCCTGATGCTGCAGTTTACACATGTTTGATGACAGGCTATGGGAATCATATGAGGATGGACATGGTTTATGAATTGTTGAAGGAGATGAAAGAAAAGGGCTGTTCACCTGATGGGAAAACTTATAATGCCCTTATCAAGTTGATGACCAGCCAGAGAATGCCAGATGATGCGGTGAGGATGTACAAGAAGATGATTCAAAATGGAATTGAACCTTCGATCCACTATCACAATATGATCATGAAATCTTACTCTCAAATAAGAAACTATGAAATGGAGAAGAAAATATGACAGACGTAGAGAAGAGAATAGAGCAGCAGAAGATGGTGGTGAATTAATTCTCTCTTATTGATATATAAAATGAGACGTAAGCACTCACAATACAACTTGTGCAGGATGTAACTATGTATATAAGAAAAGGAGTAACTATTAACTTTCCATAGTTGTATTTGTTTCTATAGTTACAGGATTTCTTCATTATGGAGGCTGATTTGTTTTTGCATCCAGCTAGTTTCCATGTATGGTGGGTTGCCATTCTGGAGTGTAGTAGCTGTTGGAGCAGGATTTCTTGATTATGGAGGCTGATTTGTCTCTGATTTGCTTTCAACTGTAATTTCCATGTATGGTAGGTTGCCATTCTGGAGTGTAGTAGGCGTTGGGAGTATTTTCCATGCAATCTTGGATGTTGGCATGACAGGAGTTGATCAAGATTTGGTTAGAGGATGTTGCTGCTGCTGCTCATTTTGCTGTTGCAGAGTTTTGATTTATGAAGCTGCATGGAGATGAAGCTGCGTTGCTTGCTGTTGTAATGCTAATAAATGGGTCGTGCAGTTTGGGATGAGATGAGTAAGAAAGGCTTTTGCCCTGATGATAACTCCTATACTGTTTTCATTGGAGGGCTTATAAGTCAGGGTAGATCTGAAGAGGCATGCAAATATGTGGAGGAGATGATAGAAAAGGGAATGAAAGCTCCTCAACTAGACTACAACAGATTTGCTGCTGATTTCTCCCGAGCTGGGAAGCCTGATATACTTGAGGAGTTAGATCAAAAAATGAAGTTCTCTGGCAAGTTTGAAGTCTCTAATGTGTTTTCCAGGTGGGATGAGATGATGAAGAGAGTTAAGCGAAGAGAACCTGGTGATAGAAAGTGTACTCAATGTGCCCGTGTACTCTGTTTATGAGATGGATGGATGATGGTCGGCGAATATCATTTCTTCTTGTTCTTTACTGATGAATATTTGTTTAATGATTTCCCATGACCAGTGGTGCTGGTTTGTGTTGTATAATTTTGTATTCATTACGTCCCACATTTCTTGTTTTAATTCTTATTTTAGTTATTTTCCAAGAGATATGTCACTTGTCTTTAATGCAATATAAATTGGTCCAGTGTTTATTGTTACTCTACTTTCCTTCTCTATGATTTTTCTTCTATTAAGCATTAGATCTCTTCTTTCATGTAGCGAAGAAAACTATTGTGTTTCTCTGCCATTTTCCAGTGTTGTTGCTGAGGTTTGCATTCATTTAATTAAAGGTAAAACAAATCATTAGAGTGAATTTCCCGGGTCACTTTTGAAACAAAGTGGAGGCTGCATGGGCTGAATTCATGGCTGACGAGGGTATGGGTGAATGTTTAGTGAAATCCTCCTGAATATCTGAACCATGTACCATTTTTGCTGCAGAAGTAAGTTTTCAAGATTGAGGCCACACCTATAATTACTACTAAATCATATAATCTAAAATTTCTGAGGCAAATAATTGAATTGTTTCAGATGACTGGTTGTGGAAGGTCATACTGCTATGATGTTATGACTTCAAGTACAAATTTTTAGGGCCGGCCAGCTAGCATTGGAGTCCAAGGTTCTATAACACTCATTATGACATTTGATTCAACAGAGGTAAAATTTACCCCCAGCCGCTATATTTTTGGTCTGACCTTTTAACTGCGATTAATTTGTTGATCTGAGAACTTTGTGGAATTTAATTTCAGGCTGAACGGCGTAACAAAGACATACCGACAGGCCGGGGCTCTTACTTTTCCACTAAACTTGTTTTAAGCAAGTTCTAATTTGGTCCAGAAGTGCCTCGAAGTTGGGTGTTTGGGGTTGAATGCAAATTCCGTTACCCTCTTGTTTTGATGTTAATTTCGATTGATCTCTAAGATTGATTTGTGACGTTACTTGGTTTGCTTGAAAACGATCAAGTATTGGATCTGATAAATTATTGCTGTGGCTCTTACAAAGGAATCAGCGGGTTAAATTTGGACTAGTATGCAAATTTTGTGCTGGTTAAGCTTCGGAAAAGAATGAATTTTCTGAAATTGTTGATTAGGAGTGTTTCAACCAGAGGATATAGGGGAAGACACGGGGAACATAGCAAGTGAGACAAAAATTAACCTCCTAATACAGAGGACTATTTACATCCTGAAATCAATGCTCAAACTCAACCATTTGAAAGAACACCATAAATAAGATTTTTGTAGCCGAGCAAACAGCAAACAAAATTGGGTTAAACCTCAAATGAAAAGGAGTAACATCTGAACCTCCAATCAGGAGAAGTGTATGCCAGGCATAGTGAACTGAGAGAGCAAGTGTAAGAACTCCTCTTGCGAGTGTTTGGATGACCTCTTTTCAAAATAATTTCTCTCTTTCAACACAGCCAAAACCTTTTGCTTGAATTCAGAGGCGTCTGCATCACCATCCTCCACCTCCATTTTGTCATCCGTTCCATCATCCATGTCCATGCCCTGATCCTCCTTTCCTTAGAATCTCGCAGTCCCGAAATGTCCATCTCAGCATTAGTACTCCCCGAGGAACCATTTTCCAATTGCCGCAGCGCCTGAAGGGTCTTGTAGTTCTTTTCAAGCATGGAGAGGACATTTTTCATCCTAAAAATTGAACCAAGTGTCTTGTTCTTTCGAATGAAACAAATCCTTATGAATCCATCCCATTCCTTAGGATTCGCCTGGGGACGTGGTTTCCTAGGCTCGATTCGAACAATAGAGGAATCCACCTTGGGCGGAGGCCTGAAATTGTTCTTCCCAACTTTGAGAAGATGGGAGACTCTAGCATAGAGTTGGGTTTTAACAGAAAGACGACAGTATAAGGCTAAGCAACAAGTCTCATAGCAAATTCTCTCTGAAACATAATGATGGCACACCTGAAGAAAGGTTGATGATTCAGTAATTTGAATGTGAGGGGTGAGGATATCTGATAAGGGATATTTGCCACACATATATCAAAATAAGGAAGGTCTGTCTTAAGCACATCACCCTGGATCACCTGTGAATGCCGAGTGATTAGTTTTTCGTAAGAGATAAACAACTTGCCAAATTAACAATGATAATGATACATTTAAGCGATTAGAGAAACGGGTGCCTTGAAAGCGACGTTGAAGCTCGAGAACCATGCGAGGGTCGAGCTCAATAGCAACAACCATTTTGCCAGCTTCGAGAAGTTTCTTGGTGAGATTTCCAGTACCAGGACCAATCTCAAGAACAACGTTGGTGCTCTTGATGCCTGATTTTTGGACTACGGAGTCAACAAGTAGAGGGTTCTTGAGGATTTGTTGTCCTTTGGATTTGTGGAAGGGTATGCCTCCTTGGTAGTGATTTGAAGAAGGTGCCCCCCCGTGATGATGCCTTCTCTTTTCTTATCTTACCGCCTGCCATTGTTGCTGCTGCGGCTGCTGGTGGTATTCAATAACACTAACTCTAAAATCCTGCCATTGCTGCCGTGGCTTTCATGACCTCAAAGAACTTGATTGCACCAGATCTCTTTTTACTCATTAACAACCCTTCAAGCATAATATTATGGGTGACAATATCAGGCTTAAAACCCTCACCAAGCATCTCGTTCCAAATCCTCCCAGCCTCCATTAAATTCTTCACCCTGCACCATCCACTAAGCAATACAGTATATGTCGTCAAATTTGGCGTAAACCTACCTTCCAACTTCACAAATAGTGCCTGAGCTTCTTTCCCAAGCTTGGCCCTTCCAAGACCATCAAGCAGAGCATTAATGGTCTCAACACCCACTCTATATTTGTGAGCAAAAGAGAGGTTCTACCAAGGAAACGAAGGAAAAGGAAGATAGACACGTTGTCTGTTTTTTTTTTACACGAATATAAAATATAAATTCCAATTATAAACTCGAATAATAAAATTATAAATAAAATATTTTAATTAATTATATGTTAATAATTTTAGTTAAATAATTTAACTCAGTGTGGGGTTTAGCAATTGTTTAATAATACGATGAATCTTATATTCTAAAGTGTTTTTAACTTTGAAATGAATTAAAATAATTTATTTTTTTCTTTTTTAAAATTTATTTTTAATAATAATATATTAAAAAAATTAAAAATATTTAAAAACTTAAAAAATAATTAAAAATCAATTTCTATGACTTTACTTATAAAGTCAATCCATGCTGTTTTTCTTCTATCTTTCTTTTTTAATTAATTTTTTTTATTCATAAAATAATATAAATTACTTTGATAAAATCTCAATCTCACAATACGACAACAAAAAAAACATAAAATTTTATCTTTCATAATTCATATCTAATATCACTACCTCAACCATCATCAATAATCATTACCTTATCTTTCATAGCTAACATCGTCACTTTTAAATTTATTAAATAAATCACTTCTGAATTTATTAAATAAATGAAACAAATTTAAATATTTAGTAGCAATTAACAAACAATCTTAGCTTTTCTTTTTTATAGTATTGTTTATCGTTGCTACAAGAGATACTTTAACTACTAATTGTTTGATCAAGAAATTTATAGCATTATCACCAAAATCAATTGCCCTTAATGCATTCTTTCATCTTTTCTTCTCTAACTACTCCCACTACCCTCTACTGTATCTTTTCACTCTTCTTATAAGTAATAACTCAAAACCCATTAGATTTGCTTGACAGGGACTTGATGTTGAGGGTTTTGAATAACCTCGATACAAGCAATATGATATGATGTGTCGTCATCTCTTATAGCTAGAACCGTGTTACTTTCACTGATTTTCTTTGGACTTCCAAACCCGGGTGTTTTTTTTCTATTTGAAATGGACATAGAGAGAGAGTTAAAGAGTTTATCAAATTTATAAACTTGATTTGAGTTTACCGTGTTTACTAATTTTTAAGTTTTTATATATAAACTAATTTGTAAAATTAGATAATTTTATGAATGAACTCATGAATTTAACAACCTTGAAGATAAATTAGTTGGCTTAATAAAATTTTCAGTTCATAAATTTTTATTTTTTTTATTTGAGTATCTCTACTTTTATATTTTTTCTATTCAAGTGCATTAACTTTCAAATATTTTATAATCAAGTGGTTGGCTGAGTTCCGTCTACTTTAAGATGACATAAACGCCAAATACACATGACATGTTTTCCAGGTGTTTACGAGCCTTTTAGTTTGTTTTGGCTTCTTTTTTTTCATTTAAATATTTATAATTTCATTAAAAACCATATTTTTTTTGAAAAAATTACCCTTAATATATTAGAATTACCTATTATAGTTTAAGAAATTATCATTTATGTCTTGAACTCTGAACACGTGTTAAAATTCTCATATAAAATTAACAAAAAAAATTTATACATATAATTATCATTGGTTTTTATTTAATAACTAAAGAATTCCCGAAACTAAAAAATGATGATGATGTCATCATATTAATATTACAGCTTCTCAAAAAAAAAAAAAAAAAACTCATATTTAACCAAACACAATTCAAAACCAACACCCTACTTCCATAATTCTTATCAACACAGATGTTATAAAATCGAATCTAGCTACCCAAACCCTCAACCCATCAACCCACTCAAACTTTATCTTTTCTTCATCAACATAAATATTTTTCTGGTGCAGCCCCGAAACCAGACATGAAGATTGGGTTACAAGTATAGAGATGGGAAGTGACATGGTGTATCCAAGGCACCTTAAGGGATATAATTGCTGGATGGTATAAAAAGGGAAGTTGCATAGGATCAGAATGCCAACGATGTTGCTGCTCCCTGTAAGCTTCGCAGAGCCCAGGAACTTCATAGAGTTCCTGAAAGGTTACTTGTGTAATTCATGTTGTCAGGGCTTGTTCGTTCCCAGTTTCTGAGAAAGGAAATTAAGCATGCGCTTGTTTTCTTGTTGTCAAGGTTACGTGTCAAAATTTTAGAATGCTTCAAAATGAAATGGGATGATCTTGAAAACAGCTCTGTATTTGTTCATCATGATCCTGCCAGACTACATGTACCAATGCAATTAAAGTAATGTATTTATTACTGATGAGAGCACAAAGCTTACCTCTACATCATTAAAAAACATGAATTTTCAACCATTAAGATGTGCAGGGATAGCTATATTCATGTTCTTCATGGCTGTCCTTTCAAGACATCTATCAGAATCTTCCAGGGAAATCCTTTCAAGGGCTTTGATTCTGCAAATACCAGTAGTTCCATTGAAACCAAGGAAATTTAGGGATGCGCCGTTCACTTGCTGAATTTCAAAGTCTCCAATTTAGGAATGTATTTTTGGTAAAAATCAAAATCTCAATTCACCAAAACACCAACTTAACTTCAAAGTCCCAAACTTTCGACAAATTTTGGCAAAGTTAGGAGAAAAAAATCAAACACCATCTTAATTGTAATTACAAATACAAAAAGGGCTGGACCGTAAGGATAGATATAAACCCTAAAGTGAGAAAAAATTTAACCCAAAAAAGCTTTTTTAAGAGAGAGAGAAGGAATTGTGATAGAGTTTTCCAGAATTAAGCATGATTTTTGATTAATAATTGTTAATGTCTAAAGGAAAAGAAGAGATGGAGAGAGAGAAAAGAAAGGAGAGAAGGTAAGAAGTATAAGATTAAATAATATATTCGAGGATGATTTAGTTATTTTATTAAATTTAAAAATTTATATTGGGCTGTAAATAATAGTTTTTCAAATTAGAACGTTTAATGGAATCAAATTTCTGAGCGCACAATGTAATTTTTCCATTTTTATATTGAAAAAATTAATTAATATTTATAATATTAAATGCTATCTTGGTAATTTTCATAAGACTCTGACGACATATCATTTTCATTTTTTTTTGGTTCTCTATGAAATGCAATGCCAATGAAGCTATATAATGACCTGTAAATATGGGAGACTCTCACCGTATCCATTTTCCCTACCATTCTGTCAAGAATAAAATAAAATGATCGCAACAGCTATTTTCATAGGGATTCTAGCATCCTAAAGGATACATGTGAATTGCAATATAATAGTAACAAATATTCACCAGTCAGTCAGCTACGGGGAGAGCTGAGTTAGAACATTCAGCGACAATTTTTTGTGAAGATAATGGAGTGGAGAGGAGTGTGGCATGAGAAATGGAACTTTACTGTGAGAATAACCGAGACTACAGTCAGGAGAAGAATAAAGCATACGAGACATGGGCAGGGAGCTACCACACACCTGCTCCCCCCCACTCGTTTCCCACTTCTCCTCATCTTCCTTGTCTTTGATCCACTGCAAGTAGCTCCGTCGCAAAGCATCACTACCATTAGACTTGCCCATTGAAAATGGGTGTGATCTGATTGAATTCAAGCGGTGACTAACAAAATAAGATCTAAATTTTAGCTGACGAAGCCAGTAGTAGTGTGGTGGCTAGCTAGATTGGTGGTTGTCATTGGTGGTTGTCTTTTGAGTAAAGAAATCGCAATAAATGGCGAGGCTGTGGGTTTGTCTGTTTAGCGAAAGGATGGACCCTTTCTCCGGGCCTGATGAACTAGCGACTTTGCCTTGTAGAGGCCAGGCCATGCCAGCCTGTTAAGGAAGGCCATTTTGTAAAACTACTTTGCGAGAAAGCTCCTTTTCTTTTCCAGAATTCCACGAAACGAAACAATAGGATGACGGCCAAATTTTATTTTTTCAAATTATTTTTTATTTATTTTAGAAGAAAAAAATAAAAAACATAAAAAATAAATTTTTTGGCAAATGCAATGCTGGTCTAAAGCTTAATTTGGTACCTTCACTCTGTTACTCTTTACTTTTATTTATATTAATGTCAATTGTGATCTGGAGTTTGATTTTTTTTTAAAGTATTTTTATTTAAAAATATATTAAAATAATATTTTTTTATTTTAAAAAAATTATTTTTAATATTAACATATCAAAATAATATAAAAATACTTAAAAAAATAATTTAAAAATAATTTTTTTATTTTTTAAAATACTCTTAAAATATAAAAACAAACAAATATAAAACAACCACAAATGCTGTTATGTTCCGGTCAAATCAACCAAGTGCCACCATGAGTCATTTAAATAAAGAAATTTAACTGGGAAAATGTCATAATTTTTTTACAAGTAAAATTATGCAATAAAAATCTTAAACATCAAACTAATTATTTTTTCCCTTTTTCACATTTTGTTTTTCAAAAAAATATTCATAAACTTTAACCTTAACCTGCTTTTGTCTTTCGGATCTATGTCTCTCATAGAATGTCAGACTGTAATGAAAAGAAAATATCATTCATATGGATTTAATCAAAGTGATTAGGCATTTAAATAGCAAGAAATTATTCTATTAATCAACAACTTATTTTTTCTTTATTTTTCCATTTTTAAACATCATTGTTAACATTCATGGTTGAGAACAAAGTAGTGGTGAGAGTAAAGGTTTGATATTACTATAAATAGTAAGATAAGAGAATGTTTCTATTTCTGTTTTTTTAAATATTTTTAATTTGAAAAATTATTAAATAAATTACTAATTTTAAAATTTTTAAAAAATATTTTAAAATTTTAAAAAATTATTTTATATATTTTCAAATATAATTTGAAAAATTATTAAATAAATATTTTTTTAATAATTTTAATATACTAATTTTAAAATTTTTAAAAAATATTTTATATATTTTCAAATAAAAATCTATTTTAAAAAATATTCCCAGTGCAGGGAACAGAGTAAATCAATGATCTCCCAAATTCCCGCCAATTAACGAAGATCGAGAACACTTGCCGGGAATTTCATTTAGTTCCCGCCAGCGACATTCCAAGTTATTATTATTGTAGTAATATCTGGAAGTCTAATTTAAAAAACCATCTCCACTCTCCTCCCTTTTCATTCTTCATCTTCCCAATCCCTCTCATTTATTTTGCTCGCTCTCTGTGTTCAGTCTCTATCTCTCTCGAAGCTGCATAAAATAAAATAAAGATTGAAAAAATGGCACCGTCGCGTAAACAGAGCAACGGTAGATCACCAATAGTAAATCCACAGCGCCAAATAACTGCCTTCTTCTCCACGACGACGACTCCTTCTCCATCTCCTCCACCCACGCTCTCTAAAAAACAAATCCCTAATTCCCATACTAAACCTAACCCTACCCCTAGCTCTCGAACCCAAAGCCCTAGTTCTAGCCCAACTACTCCTTCGCCAGTCCAATCTAAGCCTAAAAAACCCTTATTAGTTATTGGACAAACTCCTTCACCGTCTCCTTCAACAGTTGGAGTGTATGGCAAAGAGGCGGTGGAGAGGAGGGTTAGGGTTTACTGGCCCCTGGATAAGAGCTGGTACGAGGGTCTTGTTAAATCTTACGATGATGAATCGAAGAAGCATTTGATACAATATGATGACTGTGAAGAGGAATTGTTGGATTTGAGCAATGAGAAGATTGAGTGGGTTGAGCCATGCGTTAAGAAATTTAAGAGGTTGCGCAGGGGTTCTTTGGGTTTTAGGAAGATTGTGCTTGAAGATGATGAGATGGAGAATGTCGAGGGCGATAATGGCGGTGCTGGTGGTGGTGACGACTCGAGTGATGAAGATTGGGGAAAGAATGCGGAGAAGGATGTTAGCGAGGAGGAGGACGTTGATTTGATGGATGAGGAAGAAGCGGATGATGGCAAGAAAGGAAAGAGAGGTGGGAAGGATTCGAGGAAAAGGAAAGCGAGTGGAGAAGGTGGAAAGTTGGATTTGGGAAAGAAGGGAAAGAGTGGTGGGGATGCGAGTACGGGAGGAGTCAAGGTTTCTGTTGTGGAGCCTGTAAAGAACAAGGAGAGTAAGTAATGTTTTTCCTTCTATATTTGTTTGAGATAACGAGGGTTGTTGGAAGAAATTTATGACATGGATTCATCACATTTTGTTTAGAAAAGCCTAAAAACACGTACTGAAGTCAATAATAAAATGGGTTTTGTTGGACATACTGACTTGTTAGACATTACATGAGAGTTTCTTTATGATTCAAAGGGCGTCCTTGTATTTGCAGTTTCTATCTGGATATGTTTGTCTCTGCAATAGCATCTTCATTTATGCTGTGATCACGGTTACTGCCGAAGGATAATTACTTTGCAACAGTAAATGTATGCTTCTACAAATTTTTTGAATAAAAGCAGCTAGAACAAGGTTTTACATTCCCATAAAAAGGGAAAAAAATAACAATTAGGTTACGTATCCCTGTTGTTGAATTTGTGCATGTTTTACTGCAGATGGGGTTTTCGATGGCTTTGATAATGCCTTGATGACTGATGCATCAGAAAGATTTAGCACGCGTGAAGCTGAAAAGTTTCCATTTCTTGGACGGTAAGTTCTTATTGCAACAATGTGGTCCGTATGCTCTAGTCTTCATTCATACCTATGATCGTACATCATTTTGAAGAGAATGGAGAAACCATTCACTTCTTTCAGCACATTGTCTGCCTGCGTTATTTTCATTTTTATCCCTTCTCACGCATGTGAATCTCATGTTTTAGGCCCACTGATGTACATCTTGATGTAGTGAGGTCAACCCAGCAAAATAATGAAGTTAATAAATAAAGAACAAAGTAAATAGTTGATGAAGCTCCAACTGTTTGTTGTTTTGAATGAAGCATCACCCTTGATTGCTACTTGCCTTGATTCTGAAACAGAGAACGCAGGGATGCAAAGAGAAGGCGTCCTGGAGATGTAGATTATGATCCCAGGACTCTATACTTGCCTGCTGAGTTTGCAAAGAGTTTAACAGGTGGCCAGGTAGGGGCTTTCATGCACTGATTGGTTTGAAACTATCTAAGGAGTTGTCTTCTTGAATTTCATTGTTTGTTATGTGCAGAGACAATGGTGGGAGTTTAAGTCAAAGCACATGGATAAGGTTTTGTTTTTCAAGGTATGTACACAAGTCAGATGGATTTCATACATTCATCAAATCTCTCTTGACTAGGTTCTGCCTAATAATAATTATATCATTTATGCTGGTGCAGATGGGCAAATTTTATGAGCTCTTTGAAATGGATGCCCATGTAGGAGCTAAAGAACTAGATTTGCAATATATGAAGGTAGGATTCATTAAGTGCTAACGATCATGAATACTATCTTTTGGACTTTGCTGTCTTTGTTGACTCTTTCTCAATGCAGTCATTTAATCAGAAGGCATCAAAATTGGCCTGAGGCATTTGTCTTCTATTCTTGGTTGCATATTTTGGAATTTATTTGTTTCTTTGGATTTTGACTCAAGTTATTATATGATTCCTTCCTGGATGCTTAGGGAGAACAACCTCACTGTGGCTTTCCAGAGAAGAACTTCTCTTTGAATGTGGAGAAATTGGCTAGAAAGGTTGGCCTGTACTTATTTTCTTCTTTTTTTATTTAGCCTCGTTTTTTTCTCCAATGAAATTTAACAAGCTGCCTTGAAGAGCAGGGTTATCGAATTCTTGTTGTAGAGCAGACAGAAACACCTGAACAGTTAGAGCTTCGTCGCAAAGAGAAAGGTTCTAAAGACAAGGTTTGAATTTATTTCACGTCCCTGAAATGATTTCATTTTTTACCTGCAGTCATTTTAGGACCATGTTTAAATCAGATTCAGAAATCACATGAAACTCAGTATAGATGTTAACACTAATCACATGTTGGATTACTTGTCTTAATAATTTTTTATGATGTTTTAGGCATTCTCTTGTTAGTTTCTTTCATCTCAAGTTTTGGCAATTATTTCCCATTTGTTTAGGTTGTAAAACGCGAAATATGTGCGGTGATTACAAAAGGAACACTAACTGAGGGGGAGTTGCCTTCTGCAAATCCTGATGCTTCTTATTTAATGGCACTGACTGAAAGTCGCCAGAGTTTGGCAAACCAAGGTCTTGAGCGGATTTTTGGTGTTTGTGTTGTTGATGTCACTACAATCAGGATCATTCTTGGACAGGTTTGTTGATTTTTATCAGATTCTATTGTGCAGGTGATGAGATTGTTTTTTGAGGCTTTGTTGATAATTCCTTTGTGTCATCTGTTTTGTTAATATTTTTTATTGTCAATTCCCTTTTCAAGTTTGGAGATGATGCTGAATGCAGTTTATTTTGCTGTCTATTATCTGAGCTGAGGCCGGTAGAAATTGTAAAACCTGCTAAAATGCTTAGCTCCGAAACTGAGAGAGTAATGGTGAGACATACTAGAAATCCCTTGGTCAATGAGTTGGCTCCCCTCTCAGAATTCTGGGACACGGAGAAAACTGTTCAGGAAGTCAAAACTATCTACAAGCGTGTTGGTGATCTTTCAGCTTCTGGGCCCTTAAATAAATCAGATTTGGATACAACTAACCTTAATGTTGAAGAATACAGGCCAAGCTGCCTGCCCAGCATTTTGTCAGAATTTGTCAATAAAGGAGAAAATGGAAGCCTTGCTCTCTCAGCTCTTGGAGGCGCTCTCTATTATCTTAAACAGGCATTTTTGGAGGAGACATTGCTTAGATTTGCAAAATTTGAATCCCTTCCTTGCTCTGATTTCTGTGATGTTGCTAAGAAACCATACATGATTCTCGATGCTGCTGCCCTGGAGAACCTTGAGATTTTTGAGAACAGCAGAAACGGGGACACTTCAGGGTAAGGGTGTCATATGCTCTTAAATATGCCAATTTTTTTTTTCTCCTCATAATTGTTTGAGGTATTTTGTTATCTATGAAGGACACTGTATGCGCAACTGAATCATTGTGTGACGGCATTTGGAAAGAGGTTGCTGAAAACTTGGCTAGCAAGACCATTATACCATTTGGAATCAATTAAAGATCGCCAGGATGCTGTAGCAGGTCTGCGGGTAAGTTTCCAGTAGGTATTCATTTTCTAGCATGAGATGTTTTACTGGGTGAACTTTTTATATATATATAATTGGAATTCTAGACCTTGGTGAACAATTCCAAAGCCTCTACTGCTTGAACTAAAATTAACAGTTTATGGATTGATGATTTATTTTGAGAAAAGTGTCAATTAGCTATCATATGCCAGTTTTTCCATTTAAAAAATTAACAGGCGGTGTATTAATGCAAAACCTAAAACAGTATTACTGTTTTGATTCCCAAATAAATATGGGGCTCCTATCATTGGCATGGTTCATTGCCTTTTCTCTTTCCAAGTTTTTCAAAAAAATAAACTTCTTAAGGTCTTAGTTGTTGTTTGCAAAACTTTAAATCTTGGTCTTGCAGCTATGATGTTGCAGGTTCAAGGCTTGAGAGCAGCCACTTCTAGCAAAATTGCCGAAGGGCAAGACTATTTCCAAATGGTCCCTTCAATGTTTACACTTTGATGGGACCATAAATATCTTTTGGTTTTCAAAGTCCGAGTATAGAGTCTGCTTTTCTCCATATGATTAAGTGCTCTTGTAATTTTTCAAGTTTAATTTTGTGCAGAATATTTTGATGTCTTCAATTTTCTGCCTGATAGTTGCATTTCTTTTATATTTTTTGTTCTCTAACCAGCCAATTGCTGTTTGAGTTTGCATTCTGATATCATAGCTAACTTTCAGGGGGTAAATCAACCCATGATGCTTGAATTTCAAAAGGTGTTGTCCGGGCTTCCAGACATTGAGCGGCTGCTTGCACGCATATTTTCTACTAGGTAAGGATAAGAAGGAAGTAAGCATGCATCAATGTATTTTTCTAGCATTATGGAAGTACTGAACTCCGTGTAAATATGTTTCTTATGCATTATTTTATTGAAAAACAGCGAAGCCAATGGAAGAAATGCATATAAAGTAGTTTTATATGAGGATGCAGCAAAGAAGCAGCTTCAGGAGTTTATATCCGCTCTACGTGGCTGTGAATTGGTGGCCCAAGCATGTTCTTCGCTTGCTGTCATTTTGGAAAATGTGGAGTCTGGACGGTTGCATCATTTATTAACACCTGGTACTTTTCAGTTTGTTGTTCTTTTATTGTTTTTGTAAGATTGTAGTTTGAAATCTTATTTTGTTATGTAATTGTAGGTAAAGGTCTTCCAGACATCCTTCCAATTCTTAAACATTTTAAGAGTGCCTTTGATTGGGTAGAAGCCAACAATTCTGGACGTATAATACCTCATGAAGGTGTCGATGTGGAGTATGACTCTGCTTGTGAAAGAGTCAAAGAGGTTGAATCTAGTTTGGCTAGACACCTGAAGGAACAACAGAAATTACTAGGGGACAAATCAGTAAGTTCCTGTCCAGAAATAGTAGTCTTCTCTTAATTTGTTTTAGTAAATAACATCTTCTCTCATTACATGACCTATTTTACAGATTACTTATGTCACAGTTGGAAAAGAGGCATACCTGTTAGAAGTTCCTGAACATCTGCGTGGTAGTATTCCTCGAGATTATGAGCTGCGTTCATCCAAAAAGGTAAGTGATGCATACTGAATGTTTGGTTTTTGACACTTCCTTGAAAAAATAGCAAGTGTTTGGCCAATTAATCAATGTGACAGGTGTAACATCATCTAATATGTCGATTCCATTGTAAAAAACATTTGAAAAGTTATCACCATCTCTGTCATGTGGTGATGCAAATACTGTTGTGCTAGTATGCATTAACAAACATTGTGAACACATAAGCAAATGAATTGTGTTTCTTGCCTTTTTAGCTTCCTTAAGAATGGCTTGTCATTGTGCCATGGAATTGCAACAAAAGTAACTTGGAATTTTAGTCGTTTATACTGCTTTTGCCTAATTTTTACCATGGTCATATGAAATATTTAAAGAAAAGGTCGTGTAAACATTTTTTTATAATATAAATAGATAGGGTCAGTATCAGCTAGCATGCCCATAAAAGCTGGCAGGTTCCAAATATGTGATCAGGTGTCAGAGTGTGAATGAGAATGATGGTGTATGCATTTATAACAACGACCTGATTTTACTTTTATTTATTACCAACTACAATCTATGTTAACTGGGTCTTAACTTTGGCCATAGCAAATAGCTTACTGGTCTTATGAAATTTGGTTTTCCTTGTCGCTATCTTGTTTGAATTCTTTTTCTACATGCTGCCTGGGACATGCAGGGCTTCTACAGGTATTGGACTCCAAGTATTAAGAAGTTCTTAGGAGAGCTCTCACAGGCTGAATCTGAAAAGGAGTTGGCGTTGAAGAGCATTTTGCAGAGGTTAATTGTGCGTTTTTGCAAGTACCATGACAAGTGGAGACAGTTAGTTTCTGCAACTGCAGGTTTGTGCACCAACTTTATTCATGTAGAATAGGATCTTGATTTTGAATATGCATCTCTCTCTACACTAGCATTTCTGTAGAAAGCTAACAAGAACAAAATGTATTTCAAGTAGAAACCAAATTTTCTCTTTCAAACAGGCAGGCGCTCCCACTCATTTGTGGGATGGAACTACTGTCATGGTATGATTTCAATTCATTTTTCTTGACTGAAACTGGTCACTCATGATGCAGAACTGGATGTTTTGATCAGTCTGGCAATTGCTAGTGACTTTTATGAAGGACCTGCATGTCATCCAACCATCGTAGGTTCATCATTGTCAAGTGAAGTGCCATGCCTTTCTGCAAAAAAATTAGGACACCCTGTTCTCAGGAGCGATTCTTTGGGAAAGGGTGCATTTGTCCCAAATGACATTAGTATTGGGGCTTCTGGTTGTGCCAGCTTTATCCTTCTCACTGGTCCTAACATGGGTGGAAAATCTACTCTTCTTCGGCAAGTTTGTTTGGCTGTGATTCTGGCGCAGGTAAATTATCTCTCCTTTAAATATATGTTTTGCCTGGTAACCATCCACATTTTCCATCTTTGATTTTTTCCCCCACAGATTGGAGCTGATGTCCCTGCTGAAAGCTTTGAGTTGTCTCCTGTTGACCGCATCTTTGTCAGAATGGGTGGAAAAGATCATATTATGGCAGGCCAGAGTACATTTTTGACAGAGCTCTCAGAAACTGCATTGATGCTGGTGAGTTTTCTTGGCAATTTTGAAGCATTTCATTTAAGAGAAAGGGTCATGGTCCCTATGATCGTCCCAGTTTACAGACGTGGCTGAAATGGTGATGTGTAGGAGGATGTCGGTGATTGTGAGTAAAGTGCCAAAGTCTATGCAGCTTTTCCAGTCAAATTAAATTTCTGTAATGCAGAATTTATTAATTCTATTGATGTCTAGGTTCCAAATCCTTGCAAACTGTAACAGCACAGATCTAATTGGTTTCAGGCTTTCAGCATTTTCATGCCTAACCTTTTTATGGATACTTGTACAGTCATCGGCAACCTGTAATTCATTGGTGGCGTTGGATGAACTTGGACGTGGCACTTCAACTTCAGATGGACAGGCAATAGCGTAAGAATATATTCGAGATTTTACTTTTCAATGTCATGGATTGTCTCTCAGAACTTTGCATTTTTTTAAGTTTCTGTTTGACAGTATACTGGTAATTTAGTCAATCTTGTTTCTTTTCTATGCTTTGCAGCGAATCAGTTCTTGAACATTTTGTCCACAAGGTACAGTGTCGAGGAATGTTTTCAACTCACTATCACCGATTAGCTGTAGATTATCAAAAAGATTCAAAGGTATGTTTGTATTTCTGGAATTTGTTGATGTTTGTTTCTATTTTTGCTCTGAAACTGAAGCCTTTTAAACTCAGACTAGGACAATTTGATTGATGTGCTAGTACTCCTGATTTGAAGCTCTAGGACAATTCACCTAAATCGAGATATTGTAAGCTATTTAAATCGCTGGACCATTTCATAAATATTTTGAGTGAATTATTATTTTCTTGTCGACTACAGGTCTCACTGTACCATATGTCATGTCAAGTTGGAAATGGAGCTGGAGTGGAAGAAGTTGCATTTCTTTATAGGTTGAGACCTGGTGCCTGCCCTAAGAGTTATGGTGTCAATGTTGCAAGACTGGCTGGTAATGCTTTTGCTACTTTACTGCCCTTTTTAGACAAGATTTGCATGTGAGCGGAGACTGAAACTGAATAATTAATGACTAATTTCCAATGAATAGAACAATGACGTGTGTTGATCCTTGTCAGAAAATTTAAAGATTCATTTTGAGTGCACCTTTTGCTATCAACAGATTAGAACTTTTATGTTCGTCACTGGACCCCTTTGAACTTTCTGCCACATGTTGTTTGTCATTATCGAGTGTAACTTTTGCTAACAGTATTTTATGTCATTGTCGAGTGTAACTTTTGCTAACAGTATTTTACAGCTTTTATGTCCGTCACTGGACTGCATTGAACTTTCTGCCATATATCCCAATAAAAAGTTTGAAATCATTAACCAATTTCTTGGCCACTGTTTCCATTGAATCAGATCATGAATTCCAATCTTCTAATTATTTCAGGACTTCCAGACTCGATACTTCATAATGCTGCTGCCAAGTCTAGGGAATTTGAGGCTGTATATGGCCAACACAGAAAGGGATCTGAAGGAAAGTTGGCCATTCAAAGCTGTGACAAGATGGTAGTATTAATCCGAAGTCTGATCAATGCCACAACAAGCTTTAGTGGCCATAAGTCTGCTGGGATCGATATCAGCTCAGTGACCAAACTTCAGGATAAAGCTAGGATATTTTTGCAGTAAAATTGAAGTGACCGAATCTTCTGCTGTTGGACACTTCAGCATTTCTCCATCTACCAGACTAATTTTACACTAACCAAGATACTCAGGGAGCTTCTCTCCTTCAAGTCATTGGAGCATCTGGTATTTCTGTTGGCCTGTCCTCTCAAATTTTGTGATTTGACTCTACATGATATAACTTATAGCTGTGATTGATAGATATTTGACAGAGCATGCGGTGCAAATTTAATTCAAAATTGTGTCTCGGGTCAGATTGAATTTGTATCGGTCATTTTCTCAAAGATGGCTAATTTTTTGTATAGTGGTTGTATCGGTGATGGAATATTGAAAGAATGTTGTCCCTGTCCCTGTCTCTTATCCAGAAAGGGATAGTGCTCCCAGTGTGTATGGTTGTAATGTCTAAGAGGTGGGTTCAACGAACAAAGGCAGAGGTTGTTCATAATGTGACTTGCTTTCAAAGCGATACATGTTTTGGTCAGGCTGGTGGTTCAACCCTACCGATTGGTGTTGCTATTGCATTTTTCAACTTTTTAGTTATTGGGTGGGGTTTTAGTAATGTGAAATTTCACACTAACCCTGGATGTGACAGATTCTAAAACCTGTTCGTGTAACTTATGCCCTCAAAATGTGGAAGAATGTTGTCGACAATATGTGCATTGATGGAATGCTCTCATACAAAATAAAAAAAATAAAAAAATCAGAAGTTATTTTAGGATCATGCCTATACTAAATGATGGTGCTCATCTTCTTGATCCTCGCCCTCATCTCCATCAGAGTTTGAGGTGTAGTCTTCGTCGTCATCAGAATCCTGACACGCAAAGAATGAAAACACTCTTGTTAGCTTGCAAATAAATTAATTGAACTGTGCTGCACCCTTCGCAGTGGCACTCTTGTTATCTGTCTGCATTATCAGGTGTGCTCACCTGATATTGAGATCGAATGCTTTTATGAACTGCTGCAATTGTCCAAAAAACTATATACATTGGGAATAGAATTCCACTAGCTCTTAAGACGAGCAACTGCAAAATATACCAAGAGGAGAATCAATAAAATGAGACGCCGAAACTGATTCAATTCAGAAAGGATAAAGTTAGGTTGAACTGTGAGCACAGTGAGGAAATCAAATGCTTACAGTAACAAGTGTAAATGGGTAATCTTCTGTTCCACCGGTGAGAGTGGCATGAAGATGTCTCAAGAGCATAAGGACCGTAAACTGCAAAAACAAAAAAAAAAGAAGTCTACATTGTAAAATATCCCCTGAACAACAATATGAATGAATTTTTCAATCCCCTTGTCTAAGTTTTCAATGAAAGTTATGAGGAAAAAATCCCTAAAAATCCTCCCCTCCCCCGCGCTCCGCTGTAATGAATAAAAGTACATGAAAAGCATGGGATAGGAGACAGAGAGGGATGGAGGTAGAGAGTGTAGGTGGGGCAGAATAGATACTTTTAATTATTTTTTGTATACTTTTCTTTATCTTTTTTTAATAAAAAATAATACACTAAAAATAAATTATTTGAAACAAAATTAGAATAACAAATCTCCTCTCTGTTTTTTTTTTTTTTACCCGAGCATCGTCACCAACAACCACCTTCTAGATCAAATTTCATGCCAAACCAGCAATCAAACAGGAGAATTAATCCTTAAATCACAACCCCGTAAACATAATCATCATTCAAAACAAAAACCCATGAGAAAAAAACACAGAACAATCATTCTTACAAATTGTAATCATATTACCTAGAAAAACCCACTATAAGCATTTACCCAGAAAACACCAATGGATTTCCAATTGTAATCATATTACCTAGAAAAACCCACTGTAAGCATTTACCCAGAAATGATAGCTAATTGTAATCATATTTCTCTAATCTTTGTTTTTGTTTTTGTTTTTGTGATAGGTAATTTATTTTTGAATATAAATTAATCTTGATTTAACTTAAAATACATACGTTTTCATATATATACTTTGAAATAAATATTGAAATGAATGTTTAGAATTTAATGAATAAAATATAAATATTTAAATTTTATTTATGTAATAAGTAAAATATGAACATAATAAAAATTCAATCCGTGAATACTAATTATTATTCCTAGATAAATAGTTGTTTTTTAGAGTTTATTTTATTTTATTTTTTTATCATTATCATCAATGCAAAGTGAGGATTTTTTTAGAAAGTTTTTCATCAACTTTCAAATCCAATAAATACTCAAATACATACATATCTTAATTCAATAAATAATAAATAAGGTGTTAATTGAGTGTTAACTTCGATATCAATTATCAACCTTAAATATTATTTTTATATATACTTTTTAACTAGTATTATTATTGCAAAATGAGGATTTGTAGGGATTTTCATCAATTTTCTAATAAAACTTTAACAAAGGGCAGTAATAAAAATAAAAAATAGAATATTTTAGTTGAAGGATATTTATTTTTTCTGTCAAAATTCATAGTGTTTGACCATTTAGCGAAAGAGGAACTGCCATCAATAAACTCCAGCTTCTTTATTTATTAATGAATTTACTCGATTTTTATTTTCAAATAAATAGAGACGTGTTAAATAAAAGGTCAGATAAATAGAGACGTGTATTGCTTGTGGGACGGCAACAATAGGGGAAACTCGTCTACGTTTTTCCTCACATGACCTAACCGTGGGTTCTAGCACGCATGGTGGTTCCCAAACAACTGTAAGAATTCACCTTCAATTTGACTCCCTCCTGGTCCTGGGTAGTTTGAATGGTAAGCAATCCCACCGAATTTTTAAATGTTAAAGTTCCCGTCCAAGCCACTCGGTCAACCAAAGCACACAATATAATAGTAGTTCCCCATACAATAAACCGAGTCAATAGCTAAGCTATCATTCTCTTTTCTTTTTGTGTTATTTTTTTGTTATCACAATCCTCTTAAACTAAGTGTTAAGATTATGAATTACGTTCAAGCATCGTATGATGAACAGGTACTTACTGTTAGAGCCAAAAACCGGCAGCAAGAAGCGCTTCTGTCCGCGGCGGATGAGCAATGTGAGTACTCCTCGGCACCAGCGGTGGCTCTTTCAGCTATGCCTCCTAATTCTTGGTTTTCCGGATCATGTTCTCTTCTCGGGATTTCCAAACTATCTCTGCCATGACCATTCATGATTTCAGTACATCACAGTTTTGGTATAATCGTAATCATAATAGCAAGATAACCTATTTATATGTAAGGAAAAAAAAAATAACCCAAGAGACTGAAAAGACTTGAAAATGACAGAGAGTAGTCGACGTTCATGGACCAAGCAAGTAGCAAACAATTGTTCAGCGTCAGCTGTGACCTTTTCGGTATTGTATAATGCAGCTTTCAATTCGATTAGTATATTTTATATTCTGCTTATTTGAGGAAGTTTGCAATTCAAGGGAAGGGAACGCCAATATTCTAAAACGCGCATTAACAGTTGGAGGATAATGCCACGCGTTCTCTTCTTATCTATAATTTTTTTAAGGGAATATGAATGTACCTAATCGTCATTGGCTCAATCATCTCACACTTCCTTGAAGGTGCCGAGTATCCTGGTTCATAATTCTGCAAGATAAATAAATCAAATTTCATTCTAATTACTCACCTGACATCCCTGAATTTAAAAGAAGACTAAACCGATGTAGGATCAAATAATGAATTTCCTCGCAAAACAATCTTCTGAAAGTTTTTTAGTACAAAAATTTAAGTTCCGTGTTGCTGGGGAGAAACAAAAGTACAGTGGATATCAAAAGAAGATCGCAGGCTCCAAAATTCAAAACTGAAAACGGGTCATGCGAGAAATACGAAATTAAACACAAATTCAAAGTAAAACAGGAACAAATATTTGATTCATAGAAACCAAAAGTATCTTCCAGCAGAGAAGGGGGGAAAAGAAAAGGAAAAATCAGGAAAAGGAAACAAGGAAGCAGTGAACCCAGAAAAGAAAATCAAGATTTTAATATATAAATCGTAAGAGTCTCAAACCTGGAGACATATTTCACACGTTGTGTTTCCCTTCTCGTTACACCATCTCTGTATGCAATCTCTGTGTGCAAACTGAAACAGATACCATTTTTTTAAAAAGAAAAAATCATAAACAGAAGATGAAAATCAAAACTACATGGTATCTGGCAGAAGAGCATGAGGTTTACTGAATCTGTTAGCTTACCTTGACAGTTCCAGAGCAAGCACAAGGAGCTTCCAAGCTCTTACAGCTCTCAAATTCTGCTTCATGGCAAATCCTACAGTGTGGTATTGCACAACTTGTCTGCAAATCATCCACGAACAATACAATATCTCCCATTTTTGTGTAATTTTCCCTTCCTTTCTATCTAGTTTTCAAAAATACGGCGTAATTTTCCCTTCCTTCCTTTCTATCTAGTTTTCAAAAATACTTCTCTCCGGTCTCCTCTCTGTTTTTCGAAACCAACTTTTAATCCCCGTCTTCTTGGGCTAACTCGGCTTTAAAAAGGAAAGGAAGTGGCTTCAAATCCCAAAACTACCCTTAATAAAATAGATAACTTGAAACATAACCGCAACTCCATTCCCTTTTGTTTCACTCTTCTTGCGTATCAACAACTTACTACGAGTTTTTTATTCTGAAAAAAAAAAAACTTTATTTCATAACAAAAAAAGTAAAGTATTGTATAAGAATGAAAAATATTAAAGAATTTCTCGAAAATACAAAAGAAAATACCTAGCGAGTAAGAATGAAAACCTAAAAGTGTTCGTTCCTTCAAAAAAAAAAAAAAAGGATGAATGATTAAATTAAAAAAA